GAGTAGCAATACTAACAATGTTTGCTGCATAGAAAGCTATGTCCCAAGAGGTTTCCTAAGAAAGAAGCAATCCATCAAATGATCAAGATGTATTAAGGATAGCACTGGGGAATCCTGACCACTCCTGTCATCTTAGTGGTGTTGGCTTCAAAGTCACGAAGCAAGCTTATTTTGGGGCTAAGGAAAAGCTCTCAACATCAAACGCACCTTCTTCAATAGAGTTTATGGAGTTGAAGGAGGAAACGCGTTGGTTGAAAGAGCTGGTCAAAGTACAAGGGTTCCTGATTGATCAATTGATCAAGGGCTAAGCACCACAGCCGGCTTTGAGTCTTAGCCTAAGTGGAAAAGACAGCTACATATTCCCCTCTCTATCTAAGGTATAATACTACTTATGTTTATATTATAACACTTAATTATTTTCAAAACAAAGTAAGTAAAATGTATATGTTTACTTAGGGTGAAACGGACATCTAGTGTAGGGCAGATAGCCCTAGACATCACACCATCACCACAGGTCGCATGTTCAACTTACTGAGAGAAACTATGATTCATAATGTGGCTCTCCCTACTGATCATGTAAGGATACAGTTGAATTCCATGATAGATGGCAACCATGCCCTTCCTGTGTCTACCCCAGATGTAGAGACAGTGGCCTAAGCGATGGGTAGCTTTGTTGCTTGGCCTGGATGTCTTATTACATTAGAACCATTTAAAAAAGGGGTGTGTGTGTGTGTATATGTTGAAACCTTTAGCTAATTTAAAATAATTTATAAATCTGTTTTAATTGTAATTATATATTTGTTAGTCTAAGGGAAAGAAGAGTCTATTGGAAAATCAGTCATTATCGTGTTCACTATAACATCCAAAATATTATCTTAATATTAAAAATTTATTATTATTTCAAAAATAATAATAAAATAATATAAAATAATAATATTTTATTTAAAAAACACCCAGAAAAAACACCCAGCTTTTCCACCGAATTCAGTGGAAAAGCTGAGGGTATTTAAGAAGAAGAAGAATTTGGGGGAAGGGGTCATCTATTGAAGAAAGAAATTTGAGGCATGTGGTTAATAAATGAAGAAGGAAAATGAAGAAGAGACGGTTGAGTAGGAAGGATAAATGGGAGGAGGAGAAATGATAGATAGAAGAGAAAGAGAGAGCGAGAGGCGGACAGGAAAAGAGAGAGTGAGGATACTGAGCTGGAAAGTACATATAAGCTTTGAGGATCATTTAGGTACATAAAAATACTTCTTTTTATTAGATTTTCTTTATAAATATTTCCTATATATTTAGAGCTTTATATTAATAGTATCATTATAATGCTTAAATAAAATTTTGCGGTTTGAGTACGGAGTAAGTAGTGAGTTTTGACAATATATGACCATAGAAATTTAAAGATACATTACTGAGAAATTTTAATCAGTTTATATTTATTCATTGATTGTTTTGAGAATTTTAAACTAAGATTTTAGCTTAAAATGTATTATTCAAGGCATATAGAATGTTTTTACTAATTAGATTTGAGTTAAATAACTTAATTAGGTTATTTAATATATAACTGAGATTTTAATCGATTTAAAATGTGAACTAAATTAAGGATATATTATTGGAAAATTTTCAAGTTGAAAACTTAAGTTATAAATTGAGTATTTTACAAAATTAAATAAAATCAATACTTATTTATAATTTGAATGAGTTATTTGGGTGGAGGAAAAATGTTATTTAAAGCAAGAGTTTTTTGGGTAATAAATATATATATATTAATAATAATAAATTATATATAATTTAAGTTATTTATTTGTATGTAAATTAAATTGTATCTATATTATTTGTAGATTATCTTGTACTTTGAAGTCTGTCATTTGTGCTCTTATTCTTCAAGCTATGAGGTTAAGCTTGGAGTAGAGATAACCAGGGTTAATTTATTTTATATACATACTTTAGATTGTAAGGTGTTTATTATGCTTTTATTTTCTCAAATTAATTTGTGAAAGTATATCTATAAATAAAGTATGTATTTTCTTATATCACAAATTTTGGTAGAGGGGGAAGTATGTCGATTTAATTATGTATGAGTTGTATTTTATTAGCAATTATGTTTTCTTGAAGTGCTAAATTTGATACACTAATATTATGTTATTAAATAAAAGGGAAATGCGTTGTGCTTTGTTTGGAATTATATCATCTTACTTTGAAAATTTATGATATTTTTAATTTATATTGTGACTATGCATAGGGTTCATATGTGGAGGTTGGGATTATGTTATGTGGAGGATAATTGTTCTTGAAATCCGCACGGCATGCCTACACCATTGATCATAGTGCTTGGCCTTTTGTCAAACCCTTATAGTTCTTCCTTTTCCATGGGCCCAATTTGAGAATGAACTCTTGGATAGATACCTCTTGCACTATAGTCCATTCTTAGGCGGTGTAGACATAGGAGGGGGTCTATTGCTAGATGTGAATGGGGTGACCTTTGGCCAAGTTACGCAGCACAGAAAGTCTGGGTCCTTATCAAGGAGTCATAAGGAGGAGCAGGGTGATGGGAAGGCATATTTCATGGTGTTATTGCATAAGTGTACTTTTGTATGAATTGTGTTGTGGATGGTGAGACATACTCTTTTCATGTAGTTGTATCTATTAAAGCATCATTTATTACTTTAAATTATATTTAAGCATTACTTCACCAACTTGCTATCCTACTTGTGTATGTCATAAATTAATAGTTAGTTACTGGGACTTAATTGTCTCATCCTGTTATTCATCAATGCTTTTCAAGAGAAATATCTAGTTTGGCTCGGCATGAAAGGAAGCAACTGGAGGCATAGGTGTGGATATCATAGTAGCCCTCTTTTGGTTTGGGCATGTTATGCATATTGCCATCTTAAGGCCCATATTTCATTGACATATACTTACTTTTGTTTGGTTGTTGGATGACTATATTTGATGAAGTGCTATAAGAATGGCTGGAGGCCACAAGACTTTGTTGCATGTGTTACTTTTATGGACAGATTATGTGTATGACTTGTGGGCAAGGTTGAGCACCCTGTATTTCTTGTGCCCCAAGTCTTTATGGGATAAATATTTATGATACAGTTGTATCTGAGTATGTCACAAATGATCTATTGAAAGAAATTTTAGCTTATGAAATAGTTGGGATGAATGCCTGTAACTTTTATATAAGGTATTTCTCAAACCATAATTAAATACTTAATTACTTAGAACATTTATTATATTGATATTTTTGTTTAGGTAATTAGGTACCTTTACAAGAATTTCATTGTTCCTGGCAACCTTGATGAAAAGTTTAGATTTGTCAATCCCTATACCTTTGCCGACTACAGCCCTGATACGAAGCAAGACTTATCGAGGGATTTAACCGATATATTCATTTCAAGGGCAGTAAAAAAATAGGGACACTTTGCACCTTACTGCTATGGGTAAGTATACTAAATTTTCTTAAATTTTTTCATTTTATAATACTTTCTAATTGTTCTTATTATCTTTATTGTACTTAGGGGATACTGGATGCTAATTGTGGTCAATCTCTTTAAGCCAAAAATTTGGTATTTTGATTCTCTTAATATTTGACCAACCAACCATTTATATAATCACTGTTTAACAGGTATCTTAAACATATTTTATTATATTGAATTTAATTTCTTTTTTATCTAATTTTTGACAATCACTAACATTTAATTTCATTGTATTCTCAAAGCTCTATGGCTATTCAGCACATATTAAGGCTTACCATGCCCCCTAATCAAAGGCAGCCTATTCGATTCCGTGTTTCCATAGAAAAAAGTAAAGGTATTCATCACCATTAACTATTCAACTAAATATAGTTTATCATTATATCATCATTAATATATTTTCCTTTCTCTTTCTTTGTAGTGCCCATTGTAACTAGACAATAGCTCAAATTGTGGATATTGTGTCATGAAGTTCAGTGCTGACATAATCCCTATTAAGGTAACATATATTTATTCAAAATTAAATTTATACGTACATTAATTATACATTTATACCTAACATCATCAATTTCTTTGTTTCTTGCATACAGTACTTTACGGATACATATTGCATTCAATATTTGTCCAGTCATGTGGAAGAAGTTGTGGAAGAGTTGGTAATGGCATTATACCATCAATGGGCACAAAATAGATAGACAATGAGATTGGTATTTATCTACTTTTTTTTTGTTATATTTATCATGGTTCAATATCTTGTGCTTTTGGTTTTGATACTTGAACAATTTGTTATGATTTTTGTAAATAGCTAATTTTGGTTTTGGTTTAGTACTTGACAAATTTTGTTTTGCTTCTTCTTGTCCAAGTTTCTTTTTATATACATTGTATGACTTTTGATTTCTTAAAATATAATGTCAATTTCAATTTCTAATTTACTAGCTTGATTGATGTATATATGTTTTTTGTTCTGTTGCTCCCTTCTGTTTTCAAAACATAGGGGGGCTGCTAAAATAGTAGCCAACAGCCACCTCATTTTTTCAAAAAATAGGTCTACAATATTTGACAATTATTTGATATAACCATCGAGTATTATGGGTATATTTTATAGTTGTATCTAATAACCATCAAATATACAATATATCTTATGGTTATAGTAAATAACTGTCGAGTATGTTGAAAACATACTTGATGGTTATTGATCAAAACCGTCAAATATGTTTATACTTGATGGTTTTGACCAATAACTATCAAGCATTTGGCCGTAATACTTGACGGTTTTTAGTTAAAACCGTCAAGTATTGTATCGAATATTTGATAGTTATTTACCTTCAAACATTACCTATGCAAATATTTGACACCTCCATATTTAATGATTATAAACTATCAAGTATGGTCAAAAATAACTGTCAAGTATTTATATTTTTACACATGAGTAGCATAAGAAAATGCTTAAGTATGAAGACAATAATACATCACACATCATCACATCATGATGATCTTATTTTCAGTTGAGATCTCCAACATAACTTATATGAAGCCCTGGATGGAACCAGAAATATGTGATTTTGGCATGGCAGGCTCTTTACATACTTGCTCCATGGTTGGGTGAGCACGTGGATTTTCATTCAAACAAGTAGAAGCTATTCTTGCAATCAACATCACCTTCTCAGCCACTGAGCCTCGAGGATAAGATAGCCTTTGGTCTAATACTTCCTTCAAATCCAAATCATGAGCAACTATTGTCAGTGTTGTACTAGAAGATGCTGATGAGAAATACAACATTATGAGATCTCTTGGATGCTTTCCCATAATTATTTCCAAAGCAAACACTCCAAAGCTATAAACATCATATTTTTTCATCACTTCCATTGTGTAAGCAAGTTCCATAACAAAACCAAAAAAATTATCATGAAAGAAACATTGTGAATGATAAATTTTTAATTGTTAAGTAATGCAAACATGAAACATAACATCATGCAAACTCAAAAGTAATGAAAATCATAGCATAAAAGATTCTTCACTTGGAACAGCATAGCTAAAGGTACTAGCAAATGAGATCCAATTGTTAGAATCTGGATACAACAGCTTGGCTGTCCTGAAGTCAAAGATATGAACCTTATAATTTGAGTCTAAAATAACATTTTTACTTGATATGTCACGATGAACTATTAGAGGTGAGTATCTATAATGAAGATAGTATGAAGCATTAGCCATGCCTTCAACAACTTTGATTCTTTTACTCCAATCTTAATACAACTGTTTGTGTCTCTTCACTTAGTATCTTGTCCAAGCTGCCTCCTTCCAAGAATTCATAAACCAAAAAAGAGACCTCTAAATGCCAATAAAACCCATATAGCTTGATGATATTATGATGCCTAGTTTCTGTTAAGGTTCTAATCTCACTCATAAAAGCTTTCTAATGACACATATCCTTGTCTAGTACTTAATGAAGCTTCTTCACTGCTACAACTTGACTTGTGGATAATTTTGCTTTGTAGACACTTCTAGATACTCCTTTCCTAATGAGGTATTTTTCATCAAACTCTTCTGTGACTTCAATAATGTTTTCATATACTAATTTCTCATCATAACTCCAGATAGCAAACAAATTTTGAGTTTGCACTTTTGTTTCTTGATGTTTTGTTTTTTGTGATGGCAAATAACATGTGAAATCCCTATGAAAAATGTTGCTAGCATCACAACTTTGAAACTAAAGGATACAACATAAATCAACACTTCCCTACTCTTAGAATGGCTTGAGTCAAAATTTGTTGTTGCGCAAATTGGTAGGCCGGATAGATCACCACATAAGCCTTTGTTGCTTGTTAATCTCTCCATTATAGCTATGCGAAAGGCTGAAATATTTGGAAGTGGGCCTTCTAATTGATTGTTTGATATGTCAATCACAACCAAGCTATTCATATCAACAAAAAGTGACGGAATAGCCCCTGAGAAATTGTTGTGTGAGAGATTCAACAATTCCAATCGATGTAGCTCTCCAAGCATTGCTGGGATTCTCCCAGTAAATAAATTTTCACTAAGATCAAGAGACTAAAGTTGTTGTAATTGACCAAAACTAATAGGAATGCTAAAGAACTTGTTTCCACTTATATTCAATTCCCATAATTTGGTCAACCCTCCTAGTTGTTCTGGAATTGAGCCACTTAAATGATTATTAGCTAGACTCAACTGTTTAAGGTTAGTCAACAATCCTATATCAATAGGAATGTTTCTTGAAAGTTGATTGTTGCTCAATGTAAGTTCAATCTTTAATGATAAGTGACTCAATTCCTTTGGAATACTTCCTATCAAGTAATTTGATGAAAAATCAAGACTCCGTAACTTGGTTGCCTCACTTAGTTCTAATGGCATTCCCCCAGATAAGTTATTATTTGAAATCTTGAGGGTTGCAAGGTTACGGTATTGCCTCCATGTAGGTGATAAGTGGCCATAAAATGCATTGTTACTCAAATCAATGTAGTTTAAGTGTGGGCATAAGCCAAAAGCATCTGTGACATTTCCTGTCAGTTGATTACTTTCAAACCTAACTCTGACAAGGTTAGAGCAGTTCTTCAAACTTCTGGGAATTGGACTAGTGAAATGATTCTTATGTGTAGTGATGTTAGCTAGTAATCCTCCCACGCAGATATCTTGAGGGAAATGACCTGTGAAATCATTTTCTCCAATATGCAAGGATCCTAATTTCCTCAAGTTATTCATTTCTGATGTAGGGTTGCCACTAAGTTTGTTTCCACACAAATTTAGATAGGTGAGCTTTGTCAAATTTCCAATACTGGAAGGAACAAATCCTAAAAGAGTTTTTCATCCTAATGATAGTATGGAGAGCCTTGTCAAGTTTCCAATGCTAGAAGGAATGTATCCAGAAAGTTTATTTTGATAATCAGAGAAGTTGCTTAAATTAGCCAAGTTCCAAATAGATGGTAGGATTGAACCTGATATATTGTCCTCTAACAAATACAATGTCTCCATAGAGTAGAGTTTCCCTACTTACCATGGAATTGGTCTTGAGATTTGATCGGAAGAAAGGTAAATATGGTGCATTGGTCATATTTCCTATAGTGGTAGGGATCTTACCAGAGAGATTGTTTCTTGACAAGTCAAGTTCAACTACTTCCTTTAACATTCCAATTTCACTAGGAATGGAACCAATAAGTTGATTACCTCCAAGTACTAAGAATTGCATATTAGGGAAAGATGTGAAATTGAGACTATCAAGTGCACCTCTTAATTTGAAATTTGGAAGAGATATACTGGAAATTAAGATGAGCTCATTGCATGAGATTCCAACCCATTTGCAAGTACGACTGCTATTATCCTTCCATGAAGATAACACAGTTTGGCTATGATTGTTAAGGCTGGCTTTCCACTTCAGCAAAGCATTTGCTTCACTATTTAGTGAAGTTGTGAAAGGGGAAACAGGAGATAGTGGGAACAATGTTAAATAGCCAACTAGCAGCATCCACCAAAGTGTTAGGTTCTCAGGAAATTAAGGCTTTTTGAAGAGGAATCCCATGACTGTGAAGGAAATTTCAGACAAAATGAGAATGCTGTAGTAAACGCAATGGATGCTAAGAGATATATATAAGCATATGAACTAGCACTCATTTATTGACGATGTGATTTGACATTTTTGATACTTATACATATATGCATGTGCCTGTGCCATTGTATACAGACTAACTGAATGAAGACTTTTCTTGATAGTTATTTAGGTAGTATTAAGGCAATTATACTTTGCTTGATCAATTTTATTATTATAAAAATTTAACAGACGTTTAAAAATTTGTATTTTTAATAAATGTTAGTAGAAGACATAAGGAATTATATAATCTTAAGAATTAAAAAAAATAGTTGTGCAGTTTAAATAAAAAAGATTTACGTCATGCATATTATCATAATTTAATTTAAAATTTCAGATATGATTATAGACCCGATAAACTCGTAATCTTTCATAAGAAAATTTAGAGGTAGGACCTCTAAGAGAGGCAAGGAGAGGACATTAGATGAGGAAAATAGATAAATTCTTAAAATTCTTCTTCGATTAACTCAATCGACTTTTTGACCAGCAAGGGACTTATTGATGGAAAATTGAGAGAAAAAGGGAATAAAAAGAAAGTTTATGTTAACATAGCTACTTAAGGCGTAATTTTTCCACCTTCTATAGAAATCCTTGATATCTGGATAGTTCAAATGGTCAAATGGATATCTAGGAGAATTGAATCCGGATGGAAACAGAGAAGGCCTAGTTTATTCCTTCCCACATACTTCACCCTATAGTTTGTTGGGTCTATACTTATCTCAAAATTTAAATTAAATTTTGATAACATGACGTAAATGTTTTTTATTTGAATTGCACAAATATTTTTATCTTTTGAGATTATATAGTTCTTTAACAAAATGAAAAAGTATTTCAAACTTTAAAATTAATTTTAATTTTAAACTATAAAATACTCTAAATCAAATTTTTAGTCTCAAATATATACATATATATATGTATATATGTTAATGAAAATTATATCAAAACATTAAAGATAAAAAAACTCAATTAAATCTAACTAAAATACCTTCCTTCAATTTTACTTGTTAACTATAGAGGGATATTCTAGTCATTTAACAACTTTCTAAAATTCTTAATTAGGTCTTCTGGTTTAATTAGGAATTTGTTAAAAGTGTAAGCTTAAATTTAAAATTTTGATATTTTTGCTTGATTTAATTGAGATTCTCCCCACCTTAATCTCTACAGTAATTAAATAGATACATAAACATATATATATATATATATATAATATGTTGGTTTATAGAGGATGACTAAAACTGAATCATCCTTCCTTTAACCTCTTAGAGTACGCGCTTGGAAGCGTTATGGTGCAAGTGTTTCATGAAATAAGCCCGTAGATTGAAAATTTACATTAGGTTCTCGGGTTACTGTTCATTGATTAATTTTAAGATTACAGGTCCAATTTTAAAAAATCATAACTAATTCTATAAAAATCTTATTAAAGTGGTTCAAAATTCTATTTGAAGCTCTTTCAATTCTCCACAAGGAAAAAATATGAAACTAGACTTATCCTTACCCAATTCATATAGTTTCATTAAACGCTACTGTTTATTTTGTCTGTTCTGGAACTTCCAGATTCTGTGCCTCAACTTTAGAAATTCGTATATCTTAGTATAAACATCCAATTGAGATGATATACCTATCATTTAAAATATTTGGATGTGTATAATATGTCTGCCTAGTTTCATGACTTAACTCATACATTTGATAGGTCAAACTGGAGCTAGAAGCTGACTGCTCTAAGACCTACGTTTTATCTCTTATATAATTCTTGCTTTAATTCCTTTTATTGTTTTGGCATGCATAGCTTGGCTTTATTCTTTCCCATTCATTCTCATACATTTCCATTCATGCCATAAACATTCTAAACAAATATATTGCATCATTGGTATTCATATACATAATTTACATAATAGGAGAATTATACATAAATCCTTAACCAATTATTAACATCAATAATTCTTCACTTTCTTCTCCTTCCTTCTCATGCTCTCCTTCATGCAATCATTTGCATTATTGATTGACCTAAATAGTTGGTTAGAGAGGGGTGAGATTCGGGAGAATCTCAGTAGCAAACAATAACTACCCAAACATACTTGGCAAGCTTGACATTCATAACATGCTTGCAACTTAACATTTCTGTAACATAGTGATATGTTTGGAAATTATCATGCATTAACCATAAAACACATAGGCCTATAACACATTTCAAACATATTCAAAATCACAATGCATGAGTTCATAAAACCATATAACACAGAACATGTCATAGATGTAAGCAAATACTAAG